GACAGTAACAATTATACAACTTAAAACTAAACTGTAAAGACTCAGCTCTAGATCAAAATCGCCTTGTGAGTGATGATTTGAAGACAAACTACACAGCAATTAACTTATATTCAACACCAAATTCTGTTCAAAAGACACATAATTAAACACTAACGAAAATCATTATGACTAAATTTATTGTTGAATAGATGTTGAATGTATTCACAGTCTGTTTTTTGTTTTACTCGTGGGAATTTTAAGCTTCACATACCGTTTAAATAACTTGTTTATTTCTGAAGTCCATATACTTAAACTCTTCTTAAAAATTCCCACTAGTGAAATAACACAATGAATTATCAGGTATTTTGTGTTTATAAAGCACACCTAATCAATTGAAGCATAATGTGCTTATTACCAAATGTAATAATGAAGTGTGAACTGAATTTAGACCAAAATATTACTGTACATAACATGTTTACAGTGAATAGCAGCTGCCAAGGATAAATCATAAGTCATAGAATGACTGACAACCTCATAGCTACAAAAAATGAAAGAGTCTGGAAAAAAGACTACAGGAGACTCTTGCATCGTAACTTTTCAATAGATAAACATTTTATTAATATAATATAAGAAGATGTGGTATGATTGCCAATGATTTAATACCTATCCACTAGAGACCAAATGACGTGGACGTAAGCAACTAAGATATATCACATTCCGACCTTCATTTAGGTTGTTTGTACCATTATGATCTTAATGTTGGTTCTAACAAACTGGATTTACACCAACATATCAAAATGTGATTTCTTGGAAAGCAAGTTTTTCAAAAAACGCATACGTATTTGCTTTTTCACTTTCTCAACGACTTTAAGTGAAGCTAAGTGATGAGAGATATTAGAACAGTTCTAATGAAAACAACGCAGAGCAACAAAGGCAGTACATACGTGTATTTGTTGACAACTTAATCTGTAAGAGGTTTAAAAGACTTGTAATGCCGTTATATGACAATCATTTGTAACATATAGAATGTCTACCCCATCAAATGACTTGTTTTTCTGCAAATTTCTTTTACATACAATTCTCAATCGTACCGCCTCATCAAACAAAGCAGCGTGCACTTTGTCCTTTTAAATTACATTTTGTTTTAAGTTTTGGGGAAAACATTATTTTTTCTTACATATAATCAATTTAATGTTGTTTTGTATATAGATATAAGAAGATTCTTTTAATAAAGAGATGTCTTTATTGCTTTTTGGGAAAAATCGTTTTCGAAAGATAAATGATTCGAATGACTTCTAATGCAAACGTTTGAAGCTTTAATGATTTCATATTTCAAATGCCGATGTTAGTTTTGTCAGTTTTACAAGTATTTCGTCAACAGACATAGACAATTAATTGCTCCCGAATGGCTACAGTCACGTACAGTCACGTACAGTCACATACATCGCGTTTAAAAATGCAATTGAATATTTATACAATGAATAAAAGTCCACCGTTGAATAAGGTTCTAACGGCTAGATTAATTTGATATATTTTACTTCCAAATAATAGTCAAATTGGAAATAAGAATGACTGTCAACCTGGAAGTAAGAAATAACTAATCTGAAGAATGAAACGTCTACTTAGAAAAGAGAAATGTCTACCTGGAATGGAGAAATGTCTACTTGTAACTTTGAACTGAGAAATATTAACATTGAACTGAGAAATGATAAATCGAAACTAAGAAATGTCAACTGAGAAAAAGTCTGTGTGGAAGTGTGACATATCAACTATGAAATGTGGATACATAACAACAAGATGTCACAAAAGGTCTTCCATACATAGCAACAAGATGTCACTAAAGGTCTTCCATACATTAAAGATTTTAATAAATCCACCGATTATTCAAACAAACAGAAGTTGTCGTTTGTTGCTGTATATCATATTTGTTTTTCGTTTATTGTTTTGTACATAAATCAGACTTTTATTTTTCTCGTTTGAATAGTTTTACATTTGTCATTTCGGGGAATCATACCACATCTTCTTGATCTTATAATATTAAATAAAGAAAGAGGGTTAAACTGCCTTTTTGTTAGATCTCAGCCATTAACTAGTTTAACATGATCAGTGAAAAAAAATTAAGGCTTCAAAACAGCAATGAAAGCGCTGTTCCTTTGCTTTTTGTGTGTTTTTGCTGTGCATGTACTGATTTTGTGTCATAGATGGATACGCCATATCATTGCTTTCTCTCTTCAAAATATCGTGCAAGAAAAATGAGTGCAAGAAAAACACTTAACTCTGTAGTAACGCTTTTGGGTTGGCTCATATTTATTTGTCACAAAAAAACACCTCTTTGTTGAATTAACTATGTCAATTTCGACATGTCATAAACTATGTCAATTTCAACATGTTTATGACAAGTCATCACAAATGACAGTCCTGCAATTATATGTCCAGATAATATCATTATATTCAATTATGAATAAAATTAACACAATTTCGTAAGGCTCGAATAATTTGATTTTTTTTTACATTTTAAGGGCCTCTTCTTTTAGCTTAATTTGGCCAATGGTTGTAGATATGTCAGCTGTTAAAAAAAGGTTTTTAGTAATGAAAATATTACAATGTTGAAAATGTGAGACGTCACTCTAAACACGTGCATGTGTAACCAGCTGGCAAATATTCACTCCATAAGAATGAGCCAATGGAGCAGCACCAATAAGTAAAAGGAATTTAACAATAGAAAAAGAAATGTCGACTCGTTTGTTATAAATTATGGTATGAAGATTATTACCATGAGTAGATCTAATTTCAAGGTCTAAAATGTTCACTAAAACGGTCACTTTTAATATACAAATAAGGTGATGAGGTAGGATTTCCAATGAAACAACTATCTCCCAAATGACGTGGATTTTAGAAACAATAAGTCACTGTACGGACTTCAACAATGAGCAAAACCAAGACATATACTCCGCTAAAACATAATCCGACATGACAAAATGTCAAACAGTTCAAACGAATGATCCCTATCGTCAGGCTTTGCTTGAACATAAATTGAAACCTATCGACAGGGTCTCCTTAAAATCTGGAATGATCCCTATCGTCAGGCTTTGCTTGAACATAAATTGAAACCTATCGACAGGGTCTCCTTAAAATCTGGTATGACGCCTATCAACCAGCGACTCTTTTCACAAAAAATCTTACGATTAAAATTGATCGTAAGTTATACTGAAATGTGTTTGACTTACGAGTATTTTTACTCTTAAGATTTTTTGTGAAAAGAGCCGCAGATCGGATTAAAACCTTAAACGTCATCTATCGACAGGGTGTGCTTAAAACCCAGAATGACACATATCGACAAGGTTTGCTTAATACCTAGAGTGACATCTATCGACAAAACTGCTTAAAACCCAGAATGACACCCATCGACAGAGTCATCTTAATACATAGAAATACAAGTACAGGGTTTGATTAAACGTAGAAAGGCACCTATCGACAGGGTCGGCTTAAAACTTACATGACATTTATCGACATAGTACTTAAAACCTTTATGACATCTATCGACATAATACTTAAAACCTATATGACATCTATCGACATATAACTTAAAACTTATATGACATCTATCGACATATTACTTAAAACCTATATGATATCTATCTACATAGTTCTTTTAACCTAGAATGACGGTTATCGACAGGGTCTGGTTGAAAGGTTGAATTACACCTATATCGAGAGGGTTGGTTGAAGCCTAGAATGGTCTATCAAGAGAGTCCGATTAAAACCCAAAATGCTACACATCGACAGGGTCTGCATAAACACTAGAATGGCACCTATAGACAAGGTCTGATTAATTTCTAGATAACATTTATCAACAGGGACTTTTTTAAACCTTCACTAGCTTCTATTGAAAAGGTCTGATTAAAACCTAGAATGACAGTTATCGACAGGATCTGCTTTGAGCCTAGAATGGTATCTACCAACAGGATCTGCTGATCCAAGAAAAACACATATCGATAAAATCTAGAATAACACCTATTGACAGGGTGCGATTAAAACCTAGAACTACACCTATCGACAGGGTGTAATTAAAACCTAGAACTACACCTATCGACAGGGTATAATAAAACCTAGAACTACACCTATCGATAGGGTGTAATTAAAACCTAGAACTACACCTATCGATAGGGTGTAATTAAAACCTAGAACTACACCTATCGACAGGGTGTAATTAAAACCTAGAACTACACCTATCGACAGGGTATAATAAAACCTAGAACTACACCTATCGATAGGGTGTAATTAAAACCTAGAACTACACCTATCGATAGAGTCTGGCTAAAAGTTTGAATAACACCTATCGACCAGGTCTGATTAAATCCTAGCACTACACATATAGACAGGGTATGCTTAAAACCTAGAATGACACCTATCCACAAAGTCTGCTTGAAACCTAGAATTACACCTATCGATTCATTTATCCAAACCTGTTTAGACTCGGGGGGGGGGGGGGGGTTAGAGCTTACAAATATATTGCATATACACACTAATCTATGGCTGATGAACGATTGTTGACTTATCATATCCATTGGCTTATTTAGGATTCGTAGTGTTGTCTTATTGATGTATACCCATATCTCCTTCATTTAGGATTCGTAGGGTTGTTGTCTTATTGATGTATACCCATATCTCCTTCATTTAGGGTTTCGTAGGGTTGCTGTCTTAGTGATGTATACCCATATCTCCTTCATTTAGGATTTGTAGGGTTGTTGTATTATTGATATAACCTATATCTCTTTCAATTCAAAGTTATTCTTACATTTCATCAATAGTTTGGAACTGGAGCTTAATCAACATTGTTGCTTCTATTATAAATATAATATACATCATACTTGATATATTAATGAAGTACACCAAAACCATTCATTCCTGTAATAACATTTGATCAAACATTAAAAAAAAACACATTTTCACGGAGCTGTTTTTATTTCATTTACTATTATTACCAATGCCAAAAATGAGATTTATTGTATATTGCCTACCTTACAGAGCGTCGCCTAAAACTGTCTTCCGCTGGATCCATTGGAATTGTGTTCCGAACAAGGACTTCTAGAGCATGGCAATGATGTTTCGGCTTCCGTTTATGATTTGAACATGATTTAGATCGCATTCGAAATGGATCCATTTTTTTCAGTTGAAAAGTTTAATCAAACATCAAGCAAAGACACTATAATCGTAAACCAAGAAGATTTCTGTCATCTTATTAAAGTGTTTCTAACTCCAGGCTTGAGTTAACTAAGCCATTTGTCTATTATTGAGAGTTAAATATTCTAGGCGTTGAAAATAACACAATCAATGCGCAATGAATTTTTACGAATTAATATAGTTTCCTACTTAAATATCACCTCACAACATGTTGTTTGTTTCGATCATCTTACAAGAAATAGGCTTGTTTATTGATTGTTTAATGATAATTATAATAAAATTGAAAATTTTTAACCCGGGTCATTGAATTACCTTTACATTTGTAATAAAAACACGAAATATTATGTTGCATATTGATCGAGTTTTATCAATGGCATCTGTGATGTGAATTTTATCTCCTTTTGGTCTTGTATATATACACATATAAACAAGGGTTGACTTAGGCAAGCTATCAATATATATATATATATATACACAAATGTGGCACAACGAAGGGTGGATCAACTATAATAATCTATCTTCAAAATCTTTCTTCATCCATGCAAACGATTTTAATCTATTAATCAGATGGATTACAATGTGACGTCAGAAAGTATTCAAAAATCTATCGAAAGATGTTTCAATGAATTGATATATAGAATTATAGATAAACACAAAAGATAAAGAAAATTTATTTGATTATTCGAGGTATTATTTTACATACGTAACGGTCACGCATCTCAGTCGTTTCAATGATCATTGACAGATTATTTCTATATCCTCGTCATGAATTACATTGCTTCAGTAGAGTCTGTCCACCAGTCCACATGTTCATATATCATTTTTTTTGTGTAAAGATATAGAAACCTTTTTTTAAAATAACCTTGCAAGTTGCTAACGCGATATAATCTCAATTGGAATCGTGCAGTATTTATAAACTTTTACTTAACGATAAAAAGCTTTAATTAGGGAAGTAGAGGCTTTACACAAAAAAAATATGAGAAAATATAAATGATATATCAAAGTGTGTCAAGTCTGGAATTCTTCCACATCTTCACATCTCGAGCGATAACATTCGAGTTTGCAGAGAGACTCATTTTAAAGAGTAAAAAGCAGAATGTTGATGAAATTTATAGGATATTTATCAAATTAATAAACCCTCATGATTTGCCAGCAATTTAAACAATAAATTTGGATTAGAAGACAATTCTTTTGGAAAATTATATGTTTATGCGTTTATTGTAAAAGGCTGCATGAAAAAAAAAAACATCTTTACTAAAATTAGTTTGTAATATATATGGCAAAACTTCAAAATCATACATACAAAATAATTGCCGTGGTTTTTTTAAGTTATAATTCAAAGGCTCTTCGAAAATATTATGCATTTGAAATAAATGCTCGAAACATAATCTGTTCTAGTTTTACATTGACTTCAGGGATGTATATGACAGAATCAAGACGATTTAAACCGTTACCTTTTAAAATAATACGTTTGTGAAAGATAGGTAAATTGTATTCGATTACACAAGGTTTTTTTTCCATTTTCATTATTGAACGAATTACTAATATCAAACAATCGGCGCTATACTGTCATATTCCTAACTTGGAAATGGCATTTTGCAAAACAAAGGACTATTTACGAAGAATGAAATGATTGTTTACCATGTGATATATTAATTGAGCACTCAACACTGTGAAATCTTTATTAGCATTACGTCAAAACGCTCTAACGTTTTGAACTTGGTGGTTTAGTAAATAAGACATCAAATCAAGGTATCTAAAAGTACATTTTAGAAGCAGTAAAATCAATGTTTCCCTACACAGATATCAGATATAAGTTGACATTCTATTTCATTTTAAATAAGACTTTATCATAAAGTGTAGAACAAAATAAAGTGTTTAAGCTCTTATAAAGTAGTTATCTGGTCATACTCAATCCGTTCAAGTATATATCAGACTATCTATTTCAATTAAAGTCAAATCTTTAATAGTAAAATATGAGATTCCGTAGACGAAAGGCTGTAAATGTCTGTATATTACTCTTAGTCACAACATTACTCCTACCTAAACTATTCATTGTCAATATCACTTTGTTTACTTGATATTGCTTCATGGTAAGTTATATTATTGTACTTATATGAAAATAAGAAGGTGTGGTATGAGTGCCAATGAGACAACTCCTTACTAGAGACCAAAAAACTTTACACTTTGGTTGCAACTGACTGTTATGCTTAGGTCATTTAGCATTGATGCTCTAAAATATATTATGTATATAGCTTCTAACAAATTTCGTTTCAAACGTACCTGATGAGAGTTTTATTAATTGAGCTTTGATTTTCAAAATTTGAATTATCCTAGAAATCCAGTCTTTTCATTTCTATTTCTGTCTTTGTGTGTAATCAATCATTATATTTGTACAAATTACATCTTGAGACGAATGTTAACATGTGATTGAATATGAATTACATCTTGAGACGACAGTAAACATGAGTCTGATAAGTACATCTGATTGATTGTTATATATATATATATATTTTTTTTTTTTAATTTCAAACATTTTGAATCAATGACTAATTGTTTCTTAATAAATATCTCATCAGCTTTTCAGTTTTTTGTCTGCAGATTTGTTTTTAAAATTCCAAAAGCGAGAACAAGTAGTTGTACGTGCCATAGGTCGGCATGCGGACAAATGAAAGACAAGAAGTTTTCATAAAAAATAAGGTTTTTTTTTTTGTTTTTTTTTCGTGGATTGTTTCAATGACGGGTTTCCCTAATCTCCTTTTATCCATATTCGTGTCAGAGTATTTGTTTTGCAGTGGTTGTGCCAAAACAAAAACCACAATAATTTGATGTATTCCCAGGAATAATAGGATACCTTATTTATATAAAAATAAGAAGATTTGGTATGATTGCCAATAAAACATCTAGCCACAAAGTTCAAATGAGGTGGATGTAAGCAATTATAGATCACCGTACGGCCTTCAACAATGAGAAAACCCCATACCTTAAAGTCAGCTATAAAAGGCTCCGACATGAAAAATGTGAAACAACCCAATAGAGAAAACTAACTGCTTATTTATAACAAAACAATTTACCAAAAACAAATATGATAGACATGAACCAACGACAACAACTGAATAACAGGCTCCTGACTTGGGACAGCCACATAAAGATTGTGACCGGGTCATTTCATTATCCAGGCCGATGGAAAGCAAAATTGTGATGTTGGTTACTAATTATTTTGGTATAACGTACATTTTCACTCCCTTTATTCGGTTTATCGAGACTCGGGTCCTTTTATATCATATTGCATGTGATCACATGGAAAGTTAGTACGTTGAATTAAACAATTGTTGCATATGTTGTTGTTTTTTTCTGGAAACCAAGTTTTAAAAGACTAAAATTAAGTACATGTACTAAATTTACTAGTACATTGAACATATGTATATACTTCTGGGAAACGCGTAATCAGCTCTAAATGTAAGGAATATAAAATACAATCTATATTTGTGGTTTTCTAAAAAAACGAAAACGCGATAATGCATTCAGAAATACCCGGTAGTTTTGTCTTTTGTGTCATAATAAAAACTGTAGAGTAAACAACGTACATTTTATTATGCATAAAAATTGTAAAATAGTTGTATTATTTTGCCAAACATAGATTTTATTGTCAGTATGGATGGAACACACAACATAAGAGCATTATTTACAAATATGTACTCTCAACGGACTAATCTACACCATATCACTATTTTAAATAGATCTTTGAGATCATTAAACCTACACCCTTTATAAATCTATAATACTATATACAAATCCGTAGTCAGTGCTTCGGCACAGACATACTTTATAATAAATAATCAAAGATACCAGGCTTATAACTTATAAATAGAAAATTTCCCGATGATATATTAACGAATTATTTAAAAACTAAGGCTCTAACTCCCACAAGTAAAGTTGATCTTTGAGGAATTTTAGTTATTTTTGTTTTTATATCCATTTTAGTCATATAGCGCTTAACGTGTCTAAGTATTTAAACATCCCCGTCTTTCAAGTGTTTTGTTTGGGCGTTCCTGGTGAAGGTGAATCTAGAACAGCTCTTCGGACGCTTGAATTTTATAAATTGTTATTTTCATCAACAAGTATATTTTTATGGGTTAAAGGAGTTACTTTCTAAAGAACATTGATTGTACACATTCATTTATACACAGTACTTTAGAAACGTTTCGAAAATATAGACAATACTTTAAAGGTGACATTATAATATAACTTAATTTTATTTGAAAATTAGTCCTAAACGTCAGTCTGAAATCGAAAGGTTTATGTCTAATATGCAATTAATAACTAATGCTAACTTGAGGTTTTAGATTTCTTTAAGTATTGTTCTTTTTTAAGGATAAAGTCTTGCATGAACATGATTGGTAGACAGACTAGGTTTACTGATAAAAATTAATGCTTAAAGGCAAATTTACAAGTTGTGCGAGAAGCTCGCGCCATGGATATTTTTCAATCACACTACTTGAATGGTCAAGTGCAAAATAAGTTGAAGTCCTGCATTGAGATATATTGACCAATATTTTTCAACCAATATTTCTCACTGCCCCCTTTTCTCTCCAAATACAAACATTTAACAGATTCATTCAAGACATTTAATCGTTTTATTGTTACATTTATAATGTTTACATGTTAAAGTTTACAGTGTTTTCTTTCAATTAAATGTTTCAAAATTTTGCAATGTTTTATGTTTGTTTAGCTAGTGAAAATATTTTCCAACTTCATAAAAACACGACGCTTCAGGTTGAAAACCAATTTAACATCGTAAATGGGTTTCAGAACAGGAAATTACCAAGACACCATGTAATCAGACATTAAATAATAATTCCTGTATGTGCGTAAGTTGTTGTAATCCAATTTTTCTTAGAAAATTAAATTATTTTTACAATTTCAAAAGATTTTACTCCTTTACGACGGCGATTCCCAATAGATTTGCAAAGAAATATTACATGAACACCTTAAGAATAATCTTTCCTCTGTGAAATGTGCAAAATCACATCATGGCTACATATATTTGACTGGGAGGAATGTCAATTTAAGCACTTGATCATTAACACTTTTACATTAAAACAAGATGCGGAAGATACCAAGTGGATTTTGAAAACCAATAAGTCGTAAGGAATCTGACAACTTCATGGCAAAAACTGAAAAAAAAACAGCGAAAAGACCAACAACTCCACACAACATCACACAAAC